ACACACACACACACACACACACACACACTTACGCTGCCAGAAGAACTGCTGCTGTTCCTACAAGCTGCAGCTTTCCTCTAAGGACAGACATGCAAGAAAGAAACCTGTCCAGAAAGTTTACAGCCAAATACAGTGTTTCAGTACGAAGTTTGTACTCTTCCCCAACTTCTACCAGCCAGTCGACCAAAATTGCACGCATCCCTGCTGTGATATCTGGTTGCTTCCTCATATAGCATGGTTTAGGTCTGTATCTTACCTGTTAGGATAGATTTAACACTTAAGTTAGGACCTCCACTACAATAATATTGTAAATTTTCAGCTAGTATGGCTAACAATTTATAGTGTTTTATACACCAATGTGATACACTAGAAGTGAAAAAATTCAAGATCCTCTCCATTACTACCAACAGCATTAAAGGCACAGATACCAGTATACAGATGAATTAGGTATAGTTGTGTGATTAGTCTGTCTGCTTTGTATTGCCCATCTTCCTCCAACCCCCATGCAAAAGCTAGGAGTTGTATAAACAAAAAAAAACAAACAAAAAAAAACAAAAAAAACTTAGGCTTGGAACAGACTAAAGGACCTACTCCAGACATTTGTCATATACTCCCCTTCACAAACTGATTAAGGTCCAGCTCTAGATTAGTTGAGTCCATTGAAAGACTGTCCAGAAACTCAGTTTTCATGGTCATCTGTGAAAAGGGCACAATATTTTGTTGCCTATTTCTTGGGGCTTAAACGCACTCTCTGATGCTTCAGCTTTGTTTTTGCTGAATTTCAAATGGTTCTCTTCTCACTGTGTCAGATCTCCTCATCCAATAAGGCTAGGGTACACCAAATAAGAAGAAATTCTCATGAAGAGATGCTTTCGCCATAGCTGTGCTGTATCCCAAAAGGGTCTTCTCTCACTGCCTTTTGCTCAGCTCTTGTGAGGCCAGCAATAAAATGAGCTTAATTAAAGTTTTGCAGAAAACATTGACAGCAGATAAAGTAGCTAAAGGCTGTCTTATGTAACACGGTTGGCATGACATGAGAGCCAAAGACACCCAAATATTCTAGGTTTGTTAAACTACTCACTTCAGCTTCTCTGAGGTACTGATGAATATCTTCTGCATATTCTCCAACATTCATTACATCCGTGTTGTTATCCACCTGATCTTCATGTTGTGACTGGAATGAAGTATCCAGCTGATCTTCAGACTGATTCTGGAATGATGTATCCAGCACCATGGGAGAACCTGCATAGTCAGGACATCGCATAAATGTCTTGCTAGATTATTTGGCTTAGTTGTTATTCCTTTCAATTTCACAAACACTTTGGGTAGTTATGCAAGAGATTTGAGCAAAGGAAGCCAATTGCTTCACATTACAGATCAATGTCATATGCAAGGTTTATGCAATGACCAGTTACCTGTGCTCAAATTCACTAGCAGATGAATACTGGATTTCACTGTATTAGAAGCCACTTCACACAGACTAGGTTCCACTTCTTCTACAACTGTGCACTTGTATCTTTCTTTCTGCTCTGGTTCATCTATGTAAATAGCAAACCCTTGCTTTGATGTTGCATTAACCATGCAGCTCGGTCGTGTGTTTTTTCCAGCTGCAGGGAAGGCATTTTCGGAGCCCAAGAAGTGTCTGATAATGGTAGTGCCCTGAAACAGAGTAGAGAGTAATCCTGTAGGGAGAGAATTGGTGGGAACAGAACAATTCCCATTTTAAGAGAAAGCTTCCCACTTTATACAGCACTGCAGGTTACCAACTAGAGAAAACTAATAATTTGCATCAAAAAGCTAGAAGTTAGTTGAGAAGAAAGCCTGCAGTTAACAACTGGTATAAGTTCTACTTATTGCCTTCTTGCTGTAAGCAGCATCTTTTATGCCATATGGCATATTAACTGTATACCAGGTTTGGTCTTTGGCACAAGTGCTATAGGGGATTATTAGATGTCAGCAAGAGGACCAGCCTCAGAGAGTTACTGAAGTTTCATACTATATTTCAAGTTAGTTAGTTAAGAGATACTAATTGTAAAGTGAAGCCCAGGCCTCCTGAAAGCACTAAACGAAGATAACAAGGTACTTTAGGTATTTGTCAGTTTTACCAATAAGCTTACTGTTTTGTTTTGTTTTGTTTTTTTGGGGTTTTTTTGTTTGTTTGTTTGGGGGGGGGGGTAAAGCAGTTTGCATGTATAAGATAACAATATGCTGCAGATTACAAGCGGTTAACTCTGTTTTGTTCCTCTGACCCCCTTCCCCTCAAATAGGCTACTTTAGTTTAACCCACAACTGTACATGAACAGGCATATCAGGTTTGCAGCTATGGATAGGATAAAGACAGACTAGTGGACTATACCAACAAGAACTTCACAGACTCAAGCAAGTGATGCTGAAAGCCTACTAGGCTTCAGTGGTTTCTCCATACTTCTGGAAACAAGGATCTTTTTGTTTAGGAACAGGCTTGAAGGGCACAGAGCATGGCTTTTACCATGCAATGCAAGGTGAAACCTAAAAGGTGGTAGCCAGTGGAAGTAAGAGTCATGTACTGTTTTGTCAGTCAGGTGGCTATCAGACACCCTAAAGGAATAGCAACCGTATTACGGGAAAAAGTGCATTTCTAGCCGATTTTTGCAGTGCAGTACTAGAGTCACATTAACTTGTATTACAAGCTTTAGGTTTCAGGACCAGCTGATGTGCCAGAGGTAATATGATCAGCAAGGGAAGAGGGGCCAAGGCAAAAATAAAGGCTCCCCCAGGAGCCGTTCTAGCTCCCTGAACATCATGCGAATCCTGTAGCCAGCCACACAACCGTGGAGGCACAGAGCAGTAGTTGGCAGTTGAGCAGCATCTGCATTTCCACCAAACACCACATTCTAGCATCTAAAACAGCTGCTTAACAGTCCCTTCAGTGACCTTCCCCATCAGGAAAAAGATTGGGCAGGTTAAGTAGAGCATCACTATATTGAGTGCTTACCAGCAGTGCCCCTTCCCTCCTCTTTCCCACCATGAGAAGTCCTACTTACTGGGTAGTAACTGAAGCACTGCCCTTCAAATACCCCCCACCCCTCATGGCCACTTGCTATGTAGCATGGATAGGAAACAGGTCATGTATTAGCCAAGTCAGTCCCAATACTGCCAATTCCAAATATTCCTTTAGAGTAGAGACTGGCTCATGACTGAAGACTCCACAGCAAGTAGTTTACACCCTTAGGTTATGTCAAGGCCACATTTAACGCTTCTTCCCTTTCCCCACCCCTATGAGCTAGAAGCTTATCTGAAAGCCAGGCTTTGCAAAATTACATGTTTCCAAGCTGTGGGTTTAAAAAGGAAGTGCCCTATATTATTGTTTGGGAGGGTTGTTACCTTGTGACCCTTTTGAGTGGAGACAAGAGTCAGAAGCCACTTTAGCTAGAGGGAGGGAGAATCATTAGGCCAGGTACCTAGGACTTTAGATATATAAAAACCTGCCTTGTTGGGATGCAACTTTGAGAAGTTTGGGTACCACAGACAGAGGGGATACCTGTGTATCAATATCACAGCAACATGCTTCAGTTTTACAGGTTTGTCTGCAGAAACAGGGTGAGGTTTTATTGGTTTCATTTTTTTTAAAAAAAACTTCAAGTTTAGAGCTCATCAACAGAACAGAAGTTACCCATCAGAAGTGTCATGCACAAAGAGAAACAAGCCTTCCCAGAAGCAGCCCAACTCCAGCACAGAAGTCTTGACAACTGGCTTACCCTGCACCATCCCAGCTGAGCTACCTGCACCATCCCTGCTCACGCTGTCTCTGCACCAGCACCCAAGAAGTTTGTCAGACCAGGTCTCACCCTAGTGCAGGCAGCAGCTCTCCAAGAGTTACCTGGCCACAGGCTCGAAGGCACTGTCCATTCTCGGTCAGCAACCCAAGCACGGCCCTCTGCAGGGCAGGCTGGCTGGAAGGAACCGCAGCCTGGTGGGGCTCCTGGTTCCCCGCTTGGGAGACCCCACCCTTGTCCTCGCTGCGCCGCATGGCCTCCAAGTCAGTAGCAGAGAGCTGGAGAGAGAGAGAGAGAGAGAGAGAACACGAGAGTGTGCACAAAAGAAAGAGAAAAGCAAGTTAGTTGTTCCTCCAAGACTCATCATCTCCCTGGTTTCTCTCCCACCTGCTTCTCTCTCTCACACACTCACACTCACACACCTGGTGCCTCCTGGATCTGCAGCCGGGGGGGGGGGGGCCCCCACAGAAGCCACCAATGGCAGCAGCCCTGTCAAGACAGCACCCGCCCATCCAACAGCATCAGTATTGGTCATCAGGGGAGGGCACATGCACCCCTACCAGTCACCTATGCATGCACACACAACTGTAGTGGAGGCAGCAGCCTTCCTCCAGACTCCTTCTACTGCACCCAACCAAACAGACTACAGCTTGCACCTTGATCTCCAGCAGCTGGGATTAGTAGGGGAAGATGAACACCTGGGATCTGAGCCTGATCCGTGTAGGCTCAGGGCAAGGGCAAGGGCGCGTACCCCGCGTTACCTGCGCCCCCACCTCCAGGCCCGGCCCAGCCTATATAGCCGGGGCCAATGAGCGCGCGGGGGCGGCGCGGGACTGGGCCGATGCTCCGTTGGTCCCGGCCAGTTGGAACCGCGGCCCGGGCCGCTCCCGCCGCCGCGCCCTGGCAACCGCGGGGC